ACCATCACAACGATGACTCTGCAGCTGCTCCACATATTTAAAGTTTTTAAGCTCACTGTTTTATTTTTCTGTCTCACCACTTTACTGTCTTGGCCCACTCTCATAGCTTTGTTTTAAGCTGCAGCAGGAAGCTGATTTCAATGTAAAGCTCCAAAAACCCCATGTGCACTACCTACTTAGCACCAAACAGCTGACACAGTTAACGTCCAGCTGGTGAACATAGTGGAGCGTTTAGCAGCTATAGAGACAGAGTGAGTATTGGACTTAAATTCGCCAGGTTGCCCGAAACACGACTCTTTATGAAACAAATGTAATACTGAAGCCTCTATATGCCCTACATAAACAAACAAGAGAGAAGATTGGCTGTTTCTGAATAGTTATTCTTAATGCCTGCCACCGGGTTAGATTTGGTTGAATTCCCCTTTGAACTCAATGTAACGAGGCGATAGAAACATGACCACTTTTGTTCACACAAGCTATCAGAATCCACACAAAATGAAAGTTCCTTGTTGTTGCTATAAATAGCGATGATGTGTGTTGTGTTTATGGCTTGTTTGAGCAGCCCCTAGGTGGCCAAGAAAACTAGTTAATGCAGGTGTACTATAGTATTACAGTTTTTCTCCATTGGTTTGGCTCATTTCTCGAAACAGAAATTACATTCTCAAAACTCTAAGATCATTTGGCAAAACAGTCTTACAGTTCAGCACAACACCATAGCTCACTTGCAAAAGCGCATATCTCTCCCAAAACAGTTCACTCGTGTCAAAACTACATTTCTTTCTCATATAAATAGTCAGTACCTGTCCACCTCTCAGTCTTAGCCCAGTCCTTCATTCACAGTGGTTACTGTACTAGTTTTTTTGTCTAGCTAACAGAATACAATTGTGTATAAAACTGAAAAAATAAAAATAAAAAAACAGGATTTTAGGGTAAGAGTAGCCTCTAAGGTTTGACATCACACATTGCACTCACACTGCCAAGGAAAGGTTGCCATTTTTATTCACACACATAAAGTAACCTCCATATCAGAGTAAAAAGAAAATGTATAAAGCATAATGTACTGTTATATAAACACATAAACAAAAACAAGGAAAATTATATATATGCCTACAGTGCTGTAAATAAATACAGTATATGGTATTCATGGTATCATGTTGATATGATTATGTTGACTAATTTTGACAATTGAACAGACTATTTTGCATGTGATGACTTATAGAATAAAACTATGCTGACATGTTTTGAAAGGGAACAACCATTAGACTGAGAATCAATCAATCAGTTTAGATCAACAGGATCTATTCACTTGGAAATTGTGCTAACTGTAGGCTAACTGTACTTAATCATTTGCAAAGATGTACCAAGACATTTGCAATGTGATGAAATCAATGAGAAATACAATTCTGTTGTGAACAATTGCCAAGTGGTTTGGAGGTTTGTCCATGTTGTTTTGAGAATGTAATTTCTCTTTTGAGAAATGAGCCAAACCAATGGAGAAAAAATGTAAGCAAGTCACATTTAAATCATAATCTGTGACCTCCACATATACTTTAATGCTACTCTCTGTTCTTTTAATGCTGTAGGTGACAGCTCCCCTGATAATGGCCCATTAAAAAAGAAGCTCCAACATAATCACAAAGACAGGAGTTTCCAAACACAACACATGTATTTCTGAACAATGGAAGAAACCAAAATTACCAAACCGTCAAACTACTCAAAATAACCAAAACAGCAAAGGTCTGATGGGCCGGCCAAAATAAGCAAAAGGAAGGGAAGCAGCTCCAACTCCTTCTCTCTACCATAAAACCGTACTTATTCAATTTTACACTCCTGGTAACGCTATTATCTCTCTGTATATAGTGTAATGCTTCGGGTGAGCATAAAATAAAGCGAAAGTAGGCTGTTACCGCCTAGGCAGAAGGAGAAGCCGAACAGAAGACAGAAGAGAGGAGCAGCACCTATAGTTACAAAACAAAGGCTTCTCCCCACGATGTCTGTCTACTTCTGTTTCTGGGAAGAGCAGTACGGAAGCACAACAGCAATCAGTGCTGTCATAAGGTAACTACAGTAACTTACAGTCTCCTAATTTAGTTTGTTCATTTTTTTTTTTTTTTTAAAGGAATGTGAGAACATTTTGGGACATATGTTATGTATATGTATTTGCTTTGCTGAGAGTTAGATGAGAACACTGATACCCATCTCAGGTTTGCATGCTAAATGTGAAGCTACAGCCAGCAATCATTTACTTCAGCTTAAATAAAAAAGGAGGTTCAACCCAAAGGTAACAAAATCAATCTTCCAGCAACAGCTCACTAATTAACATGTCACACAACAATGTTTAGATACACATACACAAAAAGGCCTTGTGCTAAGCTAAGCTAACCACCTGCTACAGGAGCGCGAGTGGTATTTATCTTGTCATCGGACCCTTCCACCGTCTCTCTTTTTGTTTTGTCACCTCAGTCAATAAAACATCAGCAGTATAGGCTTTACCCTCTTCAGCACACATGAATGACAAGACTTCATAAAAAAGGTCACTGCAGAAATTCCCTCTCTGCCCTCAAATAACCCTATGACCAAAATGTCAAATGGTCTGACAATCGATAGCACTGGCTGGCCATAGCAAAGGTCTCCATCACTCTCTCTCTCTATTTCTGTGTGGAGAAAGAAATTGAAACACTGCAGCTTCGGTGCAATGTTAGAAAGTGTGTTTTCTTTGAGGCATATAGCATCACCCATAATCCTTAATTATGGTATTTTTATTAAAACAGTCTGAATGTGCGACTGACCTCCCTGCGTTGGAGACCTTGTTAAATTAACTTAATGCAGCATTAAGTGTAAGAAATAGAATAAGTTTGAGTGTTGTATTTTGTACGCAGACCAGTAACGTCTGTGTTTGTGCTCTCAGAGCTCCTCTCTAACATAAGTACACACTTATTTAGACTCAATTACAGACAAGACTTAATGAATGCCAGAGCAACCGTGTGTGTGTGTGTGTGTGTGTGTGTGTGTGTGTGTGTGTGTGTGTGTGTGTGTGTGCACGCACTCAAAGAGGAGGGGAGGGAGGGGACAGAATGAACAAACCCAGTATAATGCGCAGGGAGCATCAATAAGAGTTCTGCACGCTAATAAACCTTCTGCTTGAATAAATGAAATTCCAATCCCAAAGAACACAGCAATGTCGCAGTAATTCAAGCTTTATACCCTCAGCAGCAGCAATGCTCTACCCTTGTTACTAAAAGGTTCAGCCTGTAAGTTATTGGGCTTGGGTTGCCATCTAGTGGGCGTTCACGTAACACAACAAACTTCCTGCCTTTTTCTTTTCTTCCTAATTTCTTTGTTTGTACCAAATCCTCAGTAAGTATAAGGGGGCAGGGTTCTGAGATTATTCAGTAATGCAGAAGGACTGTCAGAGCTCCTAAGAAGACTAGAAAGCATCTTGAGGTTCTTTGTAAAACCCTGATCAAGTGTTGTGGAAGACCTGTTGGTACACTCTCCGAAAGACCCCATTATCTCTATTGTGTGTGATACTTTGGTAATGCACAGTTCACATGTTCAGTGTTGGCACTTTGCTGGTACTACTATCTATAGTTGTTATAGCAGAATAAGAATAAAATCATAGTGTAGATTATTGGTGAAGCATCACTTTACTGTAATCTAGTTTACAGTAAACATCCACAAAGGAGGAAGGAAAATGCTTAGTAACCGAAAATACCAGTTTGTGTGAATCATTAACTGTATTTATTGTCAGTCTGTTTCTAAACCAGGACATCCTGCCATGACATGCTGAAGTGCTTTTTAAACATTGCAACACCTACATTTACGATAACATTTGTTTTTGCGGTTTTATTTCCACAAATCTCTCACAAAACATTGTTTAAGTGACACAGATTGTTACTTACCTCAACCGAGCAGGTAAGACTCCCATCAGTGCTGTTCCATCTATCTTAATAAGTGTAACAATGTGTAAAGTCTAATGAAAGGAAGCAGTGCCTCAGCTATTGTTCTCACTGGCAAGCTGCTGATTAAAATCACAAGTCACTGTTGTGCCTGGATTGTTGCTGCTTTTCAGTTTTCCAGTTAAATGAGATTGTAGTGTGAATCCTTCATGTGAAAATCAAAATAAGGAGATATACAGAATCTTAAATTAATTCCTCTACTACTGTACTGTACCTAACAGTGTGTGGGTCTGAGCAGTATTCACTTTAGTGATTGCAGAGAGTTTAATGATGATATTTCTATAGTTTAAAGGCGAGCAGCAGTACGCATTATGCATTAGAACTACTGTAATGCCTCAGGCAGGTTTGCACCCAAAAGAGATTTTCATGTGAGACTCCCAAGTCTCTTCTTGTGATCTGTGTGATCTGTAAGTTACAGTCACACCGTGCTCAAAATGTGCTTCAGGTGAGGCTCAAACTCACAATCTCAACCGCACTGTGCAGGTCTCTGCCTTACAAGTAGCATACAGTGACTGTTTACACTACTGGAGCCTGTTCACTGCAGACTGTGATTCTCTCTCAAATAAGGTTAAATGTAATGGACTGTGAAGGCTAGTCTACAGTTTTAATAAGGTTTTTTGAGGTAAATGAATGTTTTTAATGACTCTTTTCTTCTACTGTGGTTACTGTTGGTTAGCATCAAAGTATTGTATTTAGATGCAACTGTCTGCTAATCTCTACTACTACCACAAGGGGAAGCTATGAGATATAATACGGTGATCAAGCACTGCTTCTTCTAATATGTTCATTAAATTCAAATTATTTACATCACAGAAATCTGGGACTGTGGAAGTGGAAATTTCCATGTTATATGCAGCTGTTCAGCAAGTGTCAGCAGCCTAGAACAGGCTCCAGTGGCGCAATCGGTCAGCGCGCGGTACTTATAAGACAGTAACCTGCAGAGTGATGCCGAGGTTGTGAGTTCGAGCCTCACCTGGAGCAGAGAGAGAGTTTTTAGACATGTCATCTGTGATCAGGCAACAAAAAGACATAAATAATGACTCTGTGTCTTGTTGTGTTTATTGTCAGGTAGCTAAAACGCAACCACATTGAATAAAAACACACAAGTTCACCTCAGTAACAGCTATTCACAATGGAGCAGATTAACATACAAGTGTGTTCTGCACTGATGCAACACAGGGTGAATATAAAAAACAATCCATTTGTGATTGAAGTGCATTCAAGGCTGTGGTGGAAACCAAGGTTTCCCGTGTGGTTAAAAAAAACACAAAATTCAGCGACCAAATACTAAAAACTAAATAAACACGTTACACGATTTGTGCCAGAATGTGAAATGCAGTTTCTAGACAGTTTGAAACGTTAGACAACTGCTGACACACACTGATACATTGCACAAAAAGACACTGTGTGTGTGTGTGGTTGTGTGTCATTAAGGCACATTTATGCATTTTAGAGTCTCATTTCTTGGTGAGTTCTAACTCTAAGGAAATCCAGTTAATGGACAAAACTGGACATCAGTAAAAAAGTACAAAACAAAAATCCATTGCAGCTGTCTCAGGTTGTACTGTTCCTTGTGGCCACTAAGGGGTGCTGTTATGTCCGTTTTGCCACAGAAGCGAGGTAAATAACTTGGCAGGAAACAAGTCTGTAACTCTCCGCCAGTGTGACTGGTCATTAATTAGCCCAGCTAGAGATCAATCACACATAAATCGATCACTAGTTCTTGACAGTCAACTTTACATCGTTAGATTTGTTCCCATGCTTGTGAATGTTTCTAATCAAATGCCTGAAGGCTTTCATGCGTAGCCTTTATTCATCTGTTGTACCTTCAAAAACAAACAAATATGTCCACATGAAATCCTGAAATACTGCTCATTATTCCAGGAGAAATCTTCTTGCTCAGTCACACTGAGAAAAATGACACGTCCAGAACCAGTCCGGCTGACATTTCAAAGGCTGAGGCTCACAGGAGGTGTGCGTTCAGGTCGTACTTCTCGCAGAACTTGTCTGTGATGGGGATGCAGGTGAGGTACTCGCACCAGTCACACTTCACAGGGTACACGTAGAAGAGGACGGCCAGGGCCGAGAGGAGACCCAGGAAGACAAGCAGGAAGATGCAGATCTGGACTCTCTTCCGGTACATGTCAGTACGGCCAAAGCTGAGGAAGAAAAACATGCGTTATTAATGTCATATTGGAGTTTAGGGTCAAAGACGTTCACAGAATCAAAACCTTAAAGTTGTCCAAAAATGTGTGTCGATGAATCCTACAATCAGTACATTTGAGTTAATATATAAGACATCTATCTACCTCTCGCAAAAGAACAAATAAGTGCATTTCAAACAATTCCTTTAACTCTTGTTATACTTACATAGTCTTCAGCTTTAGTAAATTAATAATGTTTTTAAATTAGAGAAGGATTTTCCTCTCTCTTTTCTTGGGCTGCGATTAGTGGATGTTAGCATCAGTGGTAAGTATATGTACCGAAGTACTGTATTAAGGTGAATTTTTGAGTTTACTGCTTACATTTTATGCTAATTATTTTTTTATTCAATTACTCATTAAATTCAAATTATTTACATAACATGAATCTGGGACTGTGGAAGTGAAAATTAAATTTAAATTTCCTTGTTCTATGACAGAAGCATAGAATAGGCTCCAGTGGCGCAATCGGTCAGCGCGCGGTACTTATAAGACAGCAACTCTTTTTTCTGATTAACTATGTAATGACAGAGCGCACAGATACATTCTCTCAGTGGGATAATCTCAGCACTCTCTCACTTTCTCCACCTACCTGATGTACGGCAGGAAGGCGAAGGACAGGAAGAATCCCGACACGAAACCGCAGATGTGGGCAAAGTTGTCGATCCAAGGAAGCAAACCGAAGGAGAAGAAGAAGACTGAGATGGCCAGCAGCTTAGCAAAAGCCCGCCACGGTCGCTCGAGGATCTGCCAGCTCTGAAACAGCTCCACAAACAGACAGGCCAGGATCCCGAACTGGCTGCCAGCAGGACCCACCTGAGAGAGAGGAAAAAGAGGAAATACGTCATAGACCAAGAGGTTAAAGTTACATACACATCTAGGGTTCAGGAAAGTCTCAGATTCAGTATCTTGTGGTTGAGAGGGTGACATTGTACCTCCGCTCTGTAGGGCAGGAAAATGGCTGAGGCCAGGTTGCCTGTGATACCGCTCAGCATGTAGATGATGGAGATTCTCAGCCAGCCAGCCAACTTCTCTATGTCCCTCAGGACGGTCATCTGGAAAAGCACCGACACCAGGCAGTGCAGGATCCTACAGGCACAGACAAGACCCAACGTTGACTATCTTCATCATCATCATACCTTACAATTTCCTGTTGTAACCCATGTGTCATTTAGGCTATTTACTGTTTCATAGTTATTCCACTTTCTGAGCTTTATATTTGGCTTTATGATACTAAATTGTTTTTGTCTGACCACTTTGTGCAAACTAATAGGGATCCAATTAAAACATCCGTCTTTTCCTGCTTTGGCTACTGACGCCTGTAGTGAGATGAAGAGAGTTCAGTCACCCAGCATGAAGAAAGAGGGAGAGCCAGAGTCGGGAGAACTGGTCTGGGATTTCCTGGTTGAGGAAAGGCAGCAAACCACACACGTCGTCCATGCAGGCCACCTGGAAGAGAGAGTGAGAGAGAAAATCAGTCAGGACTGAAAGTGCCATCAGTCAGCATGAAGATCCACTGCCACCCTGTGGGGGAAAATGGGAGTGTTTGAATCCAGTCCAAAGTCCTTTCAATTCAGAGATGAATGCAGGCTCCAGTGGCGCAATCGGTCAGCGCGCGGTACTTATAAGACAGTGACCTGCAGAGCAATGCCGAGGTTGTGAGTTCGAGCCTCACCTGGAGCAGCGAAGTTTTAATACAACACAAATGACATAGACAGAGATTGTGATTAAAAAAAACTGCAATCTGATGATTTGAGAGAAAGAAAAAGTTATAAAATATAGCAATGAGTGTTTGTCCCACCTGTGAGCAGAGAGTAGCCTCCTCATGGAAGTAGCCATGCATGAAGTCACAGTACTCCCTTGAAGTGATTTCACATCTACAACATGAAACGCTTCATCACCAACAGCCCACAGAAAACATACTAATACTCCAGGATTATTAAAATGAGATGAATACATCATTTGAATTTGGTCCTGGTTTTAGTGTAGTGTCACTGACATGTGAATGTATAAATTCTGTTACAAAACGTCTGTACTGACATTAACAAGGGTGGTGAAAACACAGAATATTTAACATTTAAAGATATCAGAACCTACATTTGACTATTGTCATGCATAAATGTTAAATATTTTGTGTTTCTACCACATATGCAGCAGATTTAATAGTACATTACTGGTAATACTAGTCTAACTAAGCCCTACTCATTTCACCTATGACCAGTCTTTCGACTACTGTGGCGTTTAGTGACGCTGATCCTTACCGTCCTTTGGTTCCGATGCAGCAGGGCCGGCCTGTGATGGTGCAGTCTATGTGGGGGAGGTTGGTGTGATTCCCAGAGTTGTATCTTGTACAAACCTGCAGATCAGATCAGATTGTTTTAATTCTAATCAAGCCATTATGTGTCGAAGACAATGCTGCATTCAGACCTCAGTCTGTTAAGTCTGTTAAACTGAGGGTAGACTTGAAGATAAGCTTAAGGCTGACCCTCAGTAATTACTTTGCAGGCAGCTTTTAGAAACACTCTCTACTCCACTCAACTCTCACTCACTACAGCATCAACATATGTTTATGGGCCCCAGTAGTGCAATTGCTTAATGTATGGTACTTATGTTAACAGGACTTACTGGCCACTTGGTGATGTCGTCAGGCCACTCATGAGGCGAAACAGAGGCTGGCTCCAGACAAATTCTACACAAAAAAACCCCCAAAAAACATAACAGTGAACATTCCTGTCTTCGTTTAAAGGACCAGTGTGTAGGATTTAGTGGCATTTAGTGGTGTAGTTTCAGATTCTCTCTTGCTTCACCCTCCCCTTCTAAGTGCGAAGGAGAAACTACAGTGGTTGCAAAATGCACTCTATTCTAGAGCCAGTGTTTGGTTTTTCCAGTCTGGGCTACTGTAGAAACCTCCATGGAAGGCGACCAACACCCTCTGTAGATATAAACAGCTCATTGTAACGTAACAAAAACACAGCGATTCTTATTTTTAGGTGATTAAACATTAATGAAAATATATCTATTAATATTCAATTTCTGACAATAGATCCTCCTAAATCCTACAACTGAGCCCCAAAAACAGTCCACACATAGAGTAAAATGATGTCTGTTATGTATTTTCTGGCCTGAGTTATGATCCCTACAATGGTAGTGTACTCCATTATAACAAGGAGAATAATCAGTGGACAGTATTTTTATGTTACCTGGGGTCCTGATGGCAGACAGAACCATGTTGCCGTAGCGTACCATTCAGATAGGGAGCACTGGGGTGCTGAGGCCACTTAACCCACACTGCCAGGGTACTCTACAGCAGAAGACAGATGGAGAAATCATTTTTATGTTAGTTATTCCCTATTTATGTTGCTTGTGCAGTGGCGACTACAACTAAATAGCGCAGCAAAAGCTGCCTAAAAATGCTACATATTTTGATTCATTATATCTCTGTTAAATCAAGCAAAAGAACATCAGAAAATGTTTTGAGTGAGAACAGACATTTTGTCACAGCGAGTCTATATAATAATAGAAGTTGTTTCAACTGACCGAACACTCCTCTTGTACAGTCTGCAGGCAGCCGGAGCGATCGTTCCTCACGCAGCAGCCGGACTCTCTCTCTCGCGTTCTCTTCTCTTGGATCAGTTTGTGGATCTCTTGGTCTTGGCGCATGCACGGGGAAAACTTGGCTCCAAGGTGTATTAGCGCCTCCTGCAGGACAGCAGGAGATATCATTACAGCTTGGTGAGGTTGTGAAACTAGACCAGTGGTTTCCAGCCTTTTTCCTCAAGAGACCCCTTTTCTGTCATTCAGTAAACTGACGACTGACGAATAGTGAACTTCAAGACGTTTGTGTAAAATGCAGATTATTCCTGTTTAGGGAACTTTTTATAAAATTCTCTGTCTGTATTTTGTATTTTTTATCATTTTTAACAATCATACAGACTTCTTTTTTGACAAATTGAGTGTTTTCTTGTCCCTGCTGCTTGGCCATTGTCCTATTAGACAATTTACTTTATCCCATTTTTAGAAAACCTGAGTAAAGCACAATCATATGATATGAAATGGTAAATGGAAGAAAGAAAATACTTACTGAGCTTGGACCCACCCAGAAGTTTTGTTGTTGCACAAATTTAACGTTTTCATAAACTCCCTTGTTCCTCAACACCTGAAAATGAATTGAAAAAGTAGTATTACTAATATCACTCATACATTTTCAGTCAAAATTCAACCAAAAATTACAGACGATATACTAATGTAAAAAACGCAGCGAAATATACTCACAGAGTCGACAGTTTCATGTTGTGAGAAGCCCACAGGGGCAATGCCATATATAGTGACAGCCAGAATGGTGATGAGCAAATGGACAAATGTGATCCAATAGGTAAAAAAAGGCCTATGGAGGACAGTAGGACAATTTCAGGCTCCATTTGCTGGGACAAGTTACTAATACTCAATTTCACCCTCCAAGGAAATACTCTTACCTGTGATCATCCATGTCCTCAATCTGCCTTTTGACGAAGCTGTCAATGCGCTTGCGGTACGTCCGGTTTGTGAGACGGCCAACCATGCCGAGCCCATAGGGCCTCTTCTCTCTGGCAAACAGCTTTTTAACAGGAACCACAATCCTCTGTCCCCGCTGCTGATGATGACTGTTGACGCTCACCACTTCCTGTTTCAGACGCACCTTAGGTTGGACCAGAGAGCCGTCTTTTGCCTTCCGCCATCCCCGCTCTAAGGGCCTGGGTTGAGGAAGATGAAAGTGGAGGAAAGCATTGTAAATGAGAGTGTCAGACGGAGAATGTTTCAGTCAGGGCTTGATTTTATAAGACAGTACTCTCTCTCCCCTGCGGCATATCAGAGGTTCATGTTTGCATACTTAATACTGTAAAAACTATAAACCCACAGCATGAGATGAGTCCTCTCCAGTTCGTTCTTGTCCAGCGCACTTCCTGTCAGCTCGCTCTCGTCCAGCTGTTTGATGGCAGCCTCCGATGGTGTCTCAAAAACTTCGTCAGCGTAGCTGGACAACTCATCCTGCAGGCCGTCCTACGAAAGTGAAAACAGAGTGAGTAGAAATCCAAAGCTGAACAACTCAGAGAATATATTCAGTCTGAAAGATGGCGCACAGGGTGCTCACACGGCAAGAGCCAATACATAAAAATACAGCTTATAGTGTATCCTCAGATCATAAGACAGTGCTTTGAATCAACACATCAACTGATTGGATCTGGTTGTTTTGATCAATTTGTTCACTTTGCTTCACCCAGAGCACAAGAAAATACTTTCAATTCAATCATTCAATCAAGTTGTGACGTCATTCAAATTCAGTTCAATCAATTTATAACTAATTTGTTAACAGAAACACATAAAAACGTTCTGTGTGACTGCAGGCTGTAGGACATAAGGGGTGGCTGCTCACTGGGTGCTTTAAGCAAAAGTGGAGATGACTTTTGAGTGAATATTTTGCATTTGATGATAAGTGAAAATAAATCAAAGGTTATCCCGGCAGTGTACGGAAGTGTGTCCAGTCCTCACTCTGGTGAAGAAGGAAGTGTCCAGGTCATCGGGGAAGTCCACAGTGTCGTCTTCAAAGAAACTAGGAGGCATGAAACTCCGCCTCCGACATCGCCCGGCAGTGCTGTCAACGAATGTCCGTCCCTAACAAAAGATCACAACATTATCATTACTAATCAATAAGTATATAATATATCCTAGCCGTGTATCTGGATCCCCGACTGATGATTGTGTCTGATGTTTATATAGTAGCCGTGACCTCTGTGTGACAGTGGATTAGCTCTGCACTTCTGGAATATTCTGACGTCTGGTGTGTATTATCACGGACCATCTGCTGGTGAAACTGCCCTAGTAACCCCCGCCCCATAGGCGCTAGCAGATACTCTCACTGAACATCCATTCAATCCTGTATATGTGTGAGTCTGCTGCCAGTGGTCCACACAGGGACAGTCATCTGCACTCTACTGTAAAATATTTCATCTGAGTTGAATCTGCAAGCTGATCTTGTGTTTTATATAACATGCCTCCACGCACACAAACAAACACACACACACACACACACACTCGAGTGCACAGATAAAACCCATCCATTCATATGTGTAGGACACAGGGACACATCAGGATATGACAGATGTACTTTTTCTAGGAATCTCTTCACAAAAACCTAAAATAATGGACATTAAAGTGCACATGTGCATGGAAACCTATCCCTGACTATACTCCTGGTCTTTAAATGATTTGTTACAAAACATCATAAAAGCATTCATATATTGTGAGCTCTGACTGTTTCAGACTGAAGATAGTGAGCTACTGCTACTACTTACAGCTGGTCCTAATGTGCAGTTACATTGCCAGGACATGGAGGTAGCTTTTAACTTTAAAGCACAGATTTTGCAAAGCACAGAATATTTGGCGAATGAAAGAAATTCAAAATAAAATGCACCGTATAAACAATAAATAAACAAACACCTTCATTAATGCTGCTGCAGCTTTGAGACTCATGACCGCCACAGACTCCCGTTTGCGTCGTTGTGGCAACCGATTGAGGGCGGAGCGGGAGCTGGAAAAGGAGCAGAGGGAGGCTGTGCCGGGCGTGATGGGAGTTTGCGGGACACTGAAGCCGTCTACCTCTTCCACCATGCGGAAGGCACGACCCCGGGCCAGGGGGTCTACAATCTACCCACACACACACACACACACACACACACAGTATGTGTTGGTTCAGCACAGCTTTTTTTTGGTACTCAATTGTCAAGCCACATACAACACTAAGTGGCAGAACAGGGGAAAGCAGGGATGCACACGACACACATCTAAACTAGGGTTAGACTGATGTACCAAGAAGAGTAGAGCTTTTTAAAAAGACCAAAGTGCAGTAGGTTTTAGTGGCAGAGCACTGATATTTTACAGATGTTATTTGCACATTTTTAATATCTAATAACAAATTTTAACTTGTGCTTTACAGTAGCAGCTGCTTTTATAGTGGCTATTTGTCCACTATAAAATGTACTTCATGCTTCATGCAACAATCAACAGGACAGAGGAGGACTAAACCTCCTTTGAAACCATTAGTGTGAAACATTCTCAGACCATACTTATTAACAATAACTATATAATGATCAAAATTAATGCAATCTCTAATCTTTGTGTTTGTGATAAAAATTGTTAAAACAAGTGAGAAAAAGCAAACCCAAGGATTGTATATACGGGTGCATTTGTGGGCTACTGGCTCTTAGAGGCCTATGCTAGCATGCTATGAGTTAAAACAAAATGTATAGAGAAAGAAATCTTTTTAGAGGTTTTAGAGGCTTATTTGTTTGAATGTATAAACATTTCAAATCTCAACAGAGTAAAGTAGTGTGTCGGAATCCAATTTTGAGCAGCCAGTTATCATTACATGGTATTTATCAAGTTAAGGCTGCAAATACAGAACAATGCACAGTACTCCATGCCTGTGTAGCAGCCTTATGAGTTTCTTGTATTAGTTTTGCTTCATGCGTCTTCAGAAAGCCATCAATTGAACCCTAGGCAAGATGGCAAAGCAAAGAGGTAAAGCAAGCGCCGGAAACCTAATGTGAAATAACGAAAGAGAGTGAAAGAGTGCGACGGAGGAAAAGGTGAACAACTGTCCCATCTCTTCCTCCGTCCCTCTAACGTGACCCCGGGCGCTGGCCTACCCTCTGCATGCCATAGTGGTGGTGATTGGGGTGGTGGGGTGGGAGGTAGAGGGGAGGAGGGGTCTCAGTGCTGGCCAGGGAGAGGTTGTCCTGGCTGTGTAGCTCCATCTCCCGCATCACCTGCGCCTTGAGACCCCCGTACAGATGGCTGCAGTGCTGCAGGCTCTTCCTCCTCCATCGCTGGGTGCTGTCGCTGTCTTTGCTCACCCCAAACCAGTCAGCCGTACCCCTGGGGAAAGGACGCAGTCTGGTTAGCAGATAGCAACTGTCAATGAAAAGGGATTGAAATGGATAGAATTATTTTTTTTTCAAAGCCTGAAACTATCACAACAGGACTTCGAGAATGACTTAAAATAAAGATATTGAGTTCTACAGCAATGCTAAAGTCGACATGCTAACATACAACACAATGGCTACGCTAACGTGGTGATGCTGAGCTGGTATATTGTTTGCCATGTTCGTGTTGGCACGCTAACATCTGCTAATTAGCATAAAACACAAACTACAGCTGAGGCTGATGGGAATGTCATGAGTTTTTCAGTAGTAGTTGTAGTTTTTCTTTACAACTTAGGTAGCTATTAAAGAATAAAAAAAGCAAAGTAAAGGCTGTCTAAGGCAACAACACTGCCTCATCTCAAAAGACACTGACACTGGGCTAAACCAGAATTTCATGTCAACTCTCAAAGAAAGAGAATTAATAATAACGCTGTCCTCTTGTCGTCTGTTTTATCTTATTTCTGTTTTTGTCTATAATCTGCGCAGCATTCAGAAAACCCTGACAGGCACCGTATTGTCCGACAGCCTGAGCCATACATCCCGCCAGATTAGCACAACAATATGCTGATTAGCTGATTGGTTGCAGCTGGTTGTTGGGGATTAGTTGACGAGTTAAATGGTTCATTGGTTGATTGCTTTCTTGTCCATACTGATGAAGAGAACCGTACATCTCAAACGAGCATCTGGTCTCGCATTCTTTAAATATGGAGCCTTACACCTTCTCTTTGGTACCTTAAATACTAAATGGAAAAGCCAACATGTGTGGTTTAATATAGCTGATAAAGCATCATTTTAAGCTGCCACAGAACAGAAACTTGAGACAGAAAAAGAAAGATGAATGGGGCATGTAGGGTGAATGGAAAAATCATCAAATTAGATCTATTTAAGTAGCATGGATCAGATTAAACGTAATTCTGGATAAAGTTTATAAGTGATTGGATAATGAAAAATCAAGATAAAATATGGGCCGGCGTCTCTACAGCCGCAGTACACAGTGAGGACTATGATCGGGCTGCAGCAGGACAGTGTATTAAATAAAGGTCTGTTGTGCAACATGTCAACATATCAGACTGAGAAATCCTCATAAATTCAGCTCCCCTCCTGTATCTGTCTCTCTCCCCTATCTTTAGCTTTCTCTGTTTATGTGTGCAGCTTAGAGAGGCTGAAGGAAAAATACTGTCTTTATCCTTACATAACCTACTGCCCTTTGTTCTGTCAGAAGCAAAGAAGCAGATGTTGCCTCAAAGTCCTGCAGCTGATGACCTGACATGGCTGTGTGTGTTTGTTTCTCATTTAAACTAAATAAATGTGCATTCGGTGTGTGCATCCAGGTCCCTTTTTTCCATGAAACAGCGTCTGCGTGCCAGGCTGTGCGTTCGGGGAGGGGGCCTCTCTGGGGAAACTGTTTGGAGAGCAGAGCGCTCAGTAATAAACACTCGAGCTTCATCATCAAGAAAGACGCCAGCTGGGGATGCCTTTTAAGGCTGCACAGGGGCAGGGAGGGGGTGGCGTGGCCCTGATTGTTGTCCCTCCAGAGAGGAATTTCTTAGAAAGAAGACAGGTTTGAGAAAGCCGAGAAGGGAGTCAGACTTGGCCTCTCTGAGCAGGAGATGTAAACAGAGACAGCGGAGAAGAGGAGGTCAGAGTGTGAAGATAACGGAACAATAACTCACTTTGGTTAACTGTTAAATACAGATAACAATCAAGATTAACATAACATCCACTACTGATGGGAAAGCATGATGCAAACACTCGTCCACACTGTGAATCAAGGCCCGTTTCAAGATAGATGACGTTTGTTTGTGTGTGTTTGTTTAGGTAAGCGGGTATTTGTCACATGCACCGACAAGCATGCGGGTCATATTCGCCCACACAAAACCATAAATAAAATATTTCAAAACTGCTTGACAACGGCACAAATCCATCAGCCATCAAAGATTAAAGCCTCATTAAGCCACATGAATTAGCTTTCATATCCTCAAGGTAAGGCTGGTACACACAAAGTATCCATCGACTCTACTGTAATTATAGGCTTACACAGCATTCATTTTATCAGGGAGAAAAGGCCAAGGGGCAAATCTAGAATCTAAACAAATATTATGGCTGAACAAACAAGAGAATTGTACAGATATAGAAGATAAATATGAACACTGATAATAGGCATTGCACTTTCTGATCCACCAACATGAGGGGTTTTTGGAGTTCAGATCTATAGGGTTAGCCTGATATATAAGTTTACCAGTATTTGCTGTTAATTAACAGCAAATTAAATATAAGTGGTCACATGTCCATAGCTGATGTAACAGAAATGAGCTGAACAAAAACCTACAAAAACATACTTAACTTTTCATTTGTTCTTTCCAGACTACTACTACTTCACTACTATTCTTCAATTAAGGGAAGAAGTGTCAGGTTCAGGATCACTGAACAGATATGGTCTCCTTGAACAAAAATAATAATATAATAATATTTTTCTGGGTCAAATGGTGCATGTTATTGTCATGGTAACATGGCTAGATGCTGTTTCGTACTCTGACAAAAAGAAAACTCCTTAAGGAATGACATGAAAATAGTCTTTTTTGGGACAAAAATTATCCAAATTAAAAAACTGTCATGAAATATTGGCTTGTAGTGACTTGAGCTAGAGACAGTCTGTACTTTGAGACAGTGGTGGTGGAACAACATTTATTCAAGTACTATACTGAAATACAATTTGATTGCACTTGATAGTAAAAAAAAAGGAGCAGCTACAACATATAATGCCTTAACATACAGTTAAGGCATTAACAAGTACTTTACTTTTGATAATTTAAGTACATTTTGCTGCTCTGCTAATACTGTCAATAAAAGTATGTACAGGACTGTCACTTTTAGAGTATGTCTATACGGTGGTATTGCTACTTGAGAAGACTGATAGCTCTCAGCCAGGCAGCTGGCCCCATTGAAATTGAAGAAAATAAGCCTGTCATCACTTTTTGTATAGATAAACAAGTTGTAACACGTTAAATTTACAGCTGCTGGTAAGCAGATTTCTTCACGGTCTTCTCACCTAACTGTTGGTAAGCAAACAAATACGGGTATCCCCAAAATGTCAAACTATTCCTTTAAGTATCTGATTATTACCTTCCTGAATGCAAAAATAAAAACACAGCAATATCACATGTGTTGCATGTAGATGTTAGCAATCACTAGTTCATTAAAAACATAACGCTCAAGGCTATTAACATATAAGATGCCCGTCTCAGCTAATTCTTCTGTTTTTTTATTAAGAAAATAACCTTAATCCCTCCACAATAAATTGAATACAAAGGCTTTATTCAGCAATTCCATCCTTTGACCAAAGTGCCTCGAGCTGACTCAGATCAACATATTTGTTCAGGATCTTCTGCCCTGGTTTGCCCCATTCTGCACAACCATAGCACACTCACCTGTCCAGGGTGCTCCAGGAGGGGTTCAGGGTCTGGGTCATACCTGAGGGGGGCAGGGACTGTGGAGCTGTATAGCGTCCATCACCAACATCACTAACATACTGTCCCCGCTTACCCCCTGACCAGTACTAAACCCTGATCCGCTGAATGCAAACTGATCCGCTGCAGATCACACATGTAGTGTTCCATAAGGGGATTTCCCGATATCCAGGCCAGCAGTGCCTTGTAACACTCGACTGTTACGCAAAAAGAGGATGATCGCTACATCATGTCCAGACTGTGTGTAACATCCCTGTCCCGCTCAGCGAGCTCCTGGTTAATCAAAGGTTAGAGGACGATGATCTCGTTGGCGGGGATTCTGATCTCGCCCTGATGTAAGGATATCCACAGAGGACTTCCAGTCTTCCACCAGCTGGACTCGCTCATTCAGAGCACTGACAAGCGGGAGGCTCTTAAATTTTCTGACCTTGTGTCTCCAACGCACAATACTAGTTTCCATATGACTGTGTATGTGTGAGAAAGTTTGTGAATGTGTCAGAGGCTGGCAGGCCTCCAAGTACCCCTCCTCGAGCGTTTGCGTATAAGGATGTGACCTACTGGGCAAAGAAGACAGCAGCTCTGGTCCATGTCAAACTGAATATTGCCCCTTTCCAGAGCCCCAACGATCTCTATCACTGAGGTCCCTTCTCTCTCTCTCTCTCTCTGTCTTTCTTTCTCTGCCTGGGTTTGCATTGAGTGTGTGTGTAAACACCAGCACTCCACAGGAAACGGGAGATTAGAAGGAGGGAGATACGGGACATCATACACATTAGGAGGGAGGAGAGACTGAGGGACGGCACTGGGACATGCCTGGACATGACATACATGTACTCATTCACACACTGGACTGGTAGAACCACAAAGGTTTAGCTGGAACCCCACCTTTCTTTGCAGCAATGTATTTGTGTCAGCATTCAAAAGAAGTCCAATTGAGCGTGTGAAGTTCAGTTCAAACACCTATCGCTGCTTGCATCAGTGTGACTGAGATAAATTATTATCTATGAGCCCATCTGTTCAAATTACTGGTTACATGAAAAATGACTCAAGAAGATTTTCCTCTGTTGTCCTGCAGATCAACAAACATCAGGGTGTCCTCCCCCGCAGTTGCCATATAAGCCAGAAGCAGCAAATCACACACTGACATACACTTTGTTTGTAGACTAAAGATTTATCCTGTATTCATGCACTCTTCTGAGGAGGAGGTACCTCAGCTAACCTCCAACAAGTCATGTACACACACACACACACACACACACACACAAACTGCCCTTCAATCCCATTAATTCTCTCATACACATCAAACGTACTAATTCTGTTTATCACCCACATACACATACAAGGCTAGTAAACCTCGGCATGATAAAGTTAAGACATTAAGACGCTCTTTTGAAGACAGTGGCTCAAGGTTTTAGTCTTGGCTCCGTGTTCAAACATTTACATTCAATTTAGCGCTGCGTGAGTGGCCGCTTTGATGTGGTCCACATGCTGTGTGAGGCACATAGATAGTCTGTATGAGTAATTGTATTATTTTGTCTGCCTCAAAGCATGTGGTCTTGTGTGTGCCACCTGGACTGACACTGATACAATGTGTGTGTGCGAGAGCCTTCATGTGTCACAGACATTGTTCAAAGTGTCACATCTGTGGCATAAAGAGACTACAGAGGGCTAACAGGACCTTTTTGTCAACACAGACATCAAGAGCGAAAAAGTTTTGTAAAAAAACAGTATAGTTTGGGTGTATTCATTTTAACTCAACCTGCCTTGTGTGTCATTCTCCAGACAGTTCATTTCTATTTTTCTGTGTTTCTAGTCTTGTGATAAAATCTCTTCTATTAAGGATCTCGTCTTAAAATAATCCAGATGTCTTGTGTATTAGCTTATACACACAAGTTTAAAGAAAGTCCACTTCCAACACCTTCAAACCGCAGTTATCACCTCCCTCCTCCACCTCTCCTGTACCTGATGATCTGTTTGGGTATAGATGAACGCCGCCGGGTCAGTATTTTTGGGATGCAGGACCGCCTTCGGACGGTTGACGCCCTCCTGGGGCCCCTCTGGCCCTTTGGAGGAACTGTGTTGACCCGCTCAAAGCGCACCCTTTTCTCACTTAAAACATAGAGTAGCATGTAGAGAAGAGGACAGGGAGGCAGCGGGGGGAAAGCAATGGTAAATAAGACAAAGGGAGGACAAGAGAGAAGAAGGAAAAAAAAAGAAAAAAAGAAGAAAGAGAAAAAGCAAGATTAGTTTGTGTTAAATCAGTAAGGAGGCTGCAGCTTTAATTAGTTTTGCTCAAGAGTTATTAGCAGAGAAGAGTTATTAGAATTAGAGAGCATAAGGCACGCTGAAGATAATTAGCAGCTGGAGAAAATCAGCAGAGGAAAGAAGAGAAAGAAGAACCTCTTATGAATCTATCTCTATTTGTGTGTGTGTGTCTAACCTTTTGATGGACTGTGTGAAGGAGGGCAATCTCTCCAGAGGAGGTCTGAGGTAGTTGTTGGAAGTTTCCAAGGCAGCGATGCAGGTCTGAGGGTTTTCCCCTGGCATGCTGACACTGCGCAGGCGCTTTACTGGCTGTAACACACACACACACACACACACACACACACACACAAACAGATGATGCCTTAGTATGTGAATGTGAAACAAACAAGTACAAGCAGTTCTAGTAGTTCCTCTACTCGTCTAAACTACTGTGACTACAGTTTTACTATTCTGACTTGTATTTTACCCTTGTGTATCTACCTGTGTAAGTGTGGGCACGTCGTCAGGCGTCAGCTGGATGGTTGGGATGTCCAGCTTGAGCCATGGAGGCTTTTTCCTCTGCAGGCTGCTGTTCCTGCTGCCCGGCTCATCCATGCTCACTAGCTCCCCCTACGCCTGCCAGCTGGAGGATACAACCAAAAGAAATAGGTTTGTGGGACAGCGCACGCAGCCAAAATACAGTATGTTCACAGACACATGTCGTCAAAAGCCCAAAAGCAAAACACACCAGTTCTGTTGAGTAATTACAGACACTGGACAGAGTGTGCACAAAATCACCAGTAATCCATGTCTCTGCATGGTCTGGGCTCAGACAGATACAGCGTGGAGGCAAATGCCTGGAACAGCTTAATCCTAATTACTAGTCTGCCAACCACCCTCAGCATCTACTCCAAAAAAGTGTGACACCATAGACACTAAACTTGTCTTTCTTTAATATATTTTTGGGGGCTTTAATCAATAGTGACAGGAAAGGGGGGATGACATGCATTTTTATTGTGAGTTTAATTCTCAATGAATCTCATACCTGTCTACCAGGTGGCCACTAGATTACATAAAATATCTTTATGTACACCTGAATGGTAAAACTAATAGTTGATGCTCTGACATGTCAACAGGAATGAAGCAGTGATCTTACTAGCTGTTACAAATCCACAGCTAGTTGGCTGGTGGTTTACAGCATGGGTAAATAAGAAGAGGATTGAGCCAAATGGGCTTTTCCCCAATAAAAAGAACATGTCTTTATATTTTAATGTGGTGTCATCACAAAAAGGCCTTTTTTGAAACAGCTGATAATTTCACAATGTGTAAATTTAGTGAGATATAAATATTTCAAATGCATTCAATATACAGTAAGGTGGGATGACTGTGTGTAAGGAGGAACAGAAGTGCTTTCTGTTTGGTTTCAACAATGACAAGTGCTGTCTGCTCTGATTACTGCAGAATAATCTCATTCCCACTGATGTCAAGTTGTCAGACCTTCTCCTGTGAGAGCCCACGTTAAAACTTCGCTGCTCCAGGTGAGGCTCGAACTCACAACCTCGGCATCACTCTGCAGGTTACTGTCTTATAAGTACCGCGCGCTGACCGATTGCGCCACTGGAGCCTGTGCAGGGAAGACAATACAGTAGTGTTTTGCGAGGCCAGTAGTGTAACCATGCTTCACCACCACAAGATGGCGCTCGGCTTCTCATGGGTAAGGCTCCCCTCCTATCCTCAGACAGGCACATGTGCCCTCAGTGAACGGGGACAGGCAGAACAGAAAGGGATGCTATTACTTGCTGTTGAGTGTGTTTTTCATAAAAGGATCAGTGGTCTGCGTGTAGCGGGCCACCTAGCAGACACAGTCAGACAGAGAGAGCTTGATAGATCGAACAACTGAGCTACACAAACAGAGGGAAAGCCACAGAACAGTATGCCAAAGCCTCCACTTATCCTGTTGTTGCTGGTTAATGGGTTTATGGGTAAAGTAAGGCATTTGGAGAGTGAAAGGGGTTTTCCTGCTTAACTCTTTCAGTGGAAGTCAATGAGACATCTCTCCGTCTCTATGAAAGCCAGTGAGGCAGTTTTTGTAGTGGTGGTACGAAGTGTCGACACAAACAATGATCGTTTCCTTTCCCGTTGACTTGTGCATTTTAAAGGTGCTGAGCTCGTCAGGTGAAGCACCGACTCAGCGCCTTTCTGCTGCTTACTGTGTCACCGGTGCCACACAGTAACAATAGCACTTTATCATGACTGAATAGCTCCTCACTTAATAGCATAAAGCGCTGAGGCTTTGGAATTCACCACCACAAATTCATCCCCCGGCCACCAACACAGAGCCCATACTGAATTTTTTTTTAGGCCAATAACAATACAAGGATCGACACAAGGTTGCACAACGAAGTGAAAGTCTGCCATCCCATCACGCTACACACATACAACTTTAAAAAATCATTAAAAACCTGATAACAAAATACAATGGACAGCATCTGTAATGGAGACATTGTTTCTAAATTACCTCTACTGTTAACTCTTAAATACCAGCCAACAATAGGCTAATATTGACTGATAATCGATCTACCTCAGTCAGTTTAGGCTCCAGGACAAATAATAAACATAGATAATTCAGCACATTCCATCTCTTGGAGGCAAAATGGAAGAAATCTCAGGTAGTTTTATAGCAGGTCTGTTTCTCTCTATCATCTGTCTACACACCCCGTTCACTTTTATCAAATTATATTTAATGTGAAAAAATGTCTCTTGGGCCAAGGGGAAGTCATTGAGCAGGAGTGGAAGGGCTATTACTGGATAATAGGACATCTGCATCTGCTCTGAGATGCATTGAGCGACTACCATCGAGGAGCTCCTGTAGATCTCAGCTGTGAATCATTCTTTGATTCACTGCTGTGAGTGAAATTACAGCCTCTCCTCTTTTGCCATAAAGCCATCAGCTGAACAATAATTTCCTCCATCGTACGTGGTGCTGGAGCCGACATTCAGACTTCTGGCCAGTCTGACGAGCTGAAAGACATTCAACACCGGCAGCTGGAGGACTTCTCGATTCCAAACCTCGACCCACACACTTGCACTACATCCTTAAGGGAAAGATCTCACTTTGGATACTCTTACTTGTCAAATACAGTTAGTTTGGGTGCTTATTTTGCACTTAATGGTATTCTCTTTTCTATTGTACTTGCTCTCATGCAAATTGCCATGTCAATTTAAATAGTGATCTCCTACATGTCCCAGGTGGCTGTGCAGCAATGCCTACAGAACTGGTGTGAACTTGTGACTCTCAGTCTTAGTAAAAGGTGGGTGTTTGGACATATACAAAGTGACATTGCTCAGCTATGGATGGGAGTAATAGAGCAACGAGAGCACGAGCTGGGCACGTGTTTCCGTTTAGTTAAACGAAACTGTCAAACACATCACAGCTTGTTCCATCACATACTGATCTACTGAGGTTACTGGAGGTGTGGATGTTTGTATTTCTCTCTTCTACAGTGTCTGATACTGCACTTAACATCAGTGCAAAATTGTGAATTTTAGATGTAGAGTCTGTAGAGCGATATTGGCTGGTCTATCAACTGCTTTGGAAACTTACTGTGTTTGTTGTTGATTACTCTTGCGCCACCATATCAGTGACAAATTTGTAATAACTTTGGTGATCCCAAAGGTCGCCAACACTTTGGGTTGCCAAGCATCCGTATTTTATGACCCGGGAATGAGACTCAACAATCAAACAATCTTTGTCCAGAATAACTGACCCCACCTTTAACTCTTCCTCTAGCGTCCTCATTATGACCAACAAGACTTTGTGTATTGTAATAATTATCCAAATTTGGCATGCTAAAGTGCTAAATTAAAATGGTGAGTATGGCAAATATTATACTTGTATAAAATCAGCTTGTTGGCATGATGGAATTAGCATTTAGCTGTAGAGTACAGCCTCAGAGAGCCGCTAACATGACTGTAGAAAAAGAAGGAGGAAAAACGTGTGCCAGCAGAATGATTTGAAAGATGCAATAAAGACATACAAAAGTAGACAGAGTGGCTTTAAACTCTGAGTCCTGATTAAACAAACACCTTGTGAAGAGACGCAGAATTGCATTACACTGATACACTGTTGATCCACGGTGTATAATGTTTAAATTACACATGTTGACTGAGCCTAAAGGCAGCTTACACAAAGTTGACTTTAATTCCTTTTGCCTCTCTGCTGCCCATGTCAGTGTTTTGGTCTCTCTGTGGTCACATGTGGAAGCCTGCGCGTTCCCTTACGGTCACAGAGGATAAACACACCCCTGCAAATAGAAACCTCCACCAGAACAATCCATAACCACATCCTTTGCTTATTCTGTGGTGGTGATCCGGTGTGTGTTTGTGTGCATGCTGACAGGAGCACAGACACACTCGGATGTACTTATACAAATTATGAATATGCACAAAGTATACATATTCACATCCATAGAGTGTATAAACTCACTTGACAGCCCTTGCTTCAGTCTCACACGTCAGGTTTTTGTAGTTCTCCATACGGCTAAAGAAGAGATGCCGTCTGGTCCGAAATCAATCTCCTCTTTTTTCATCTTGTCTCCGACATCCGCCATTTGTTACTTCATGATCATGATCTCTCTCTTTTTTTCT